TAGATAGATATAGAGAGAGATGGGTAGGGAGGGAGGGAGACAGATAGATACGTAAGTAGATAGATTTACAGGCAATCAGACAGGCTAAATGTCAAACTGACTGACAGTCAAGTAGATGGACTAATGGACAAATCTTTAGATAGACACATTCGGATGAATGGCGGTCAGTCTGCATAAACACAGCGGAGCGAACGAATCATCGATCAAACATATGGAGCGTGTGTTGATTTTCCGTTTCATCCCCAGTGGTAATCAAGGTGATTATGAAAACCGATTTGTCCAACAAACAAGCGTTTAACCGATTCGAGTTATTCGTGGATTTCATGTTACGCCTTCCGACGGAACATGGTGTTTACAACAGACCATGAAAGTGCACAACTGCTGAACTCAAGATGGTTTCTTATTTTGCAACGCGTTCGCTGCTTTATCAGCGAGTTTGGTTGGATTATTTCGCCGCATAAAACTACACATGAGAGTCAAGGCCACATTTCAGATATTCCGCAAAATCCGTGAGACGTTTAGTGATATTCTGCGTACTCCAAACCGACGTACAGGAGAATAAGTTTCGTCAGGATATTGCGTTACCCTGCAACCAAGGGATTTTGTGTAGTTGCTTCTTAATAGCGAGTAGTCCATGAAGACAATTCTTCTAATCAGCAATAGTAGAGCTCCTGTTATTAATAAGTGTTATTGAACTGTTTTCCTGGTTCCAGCCAAATGTTGTAGATAGAAAGCCCTCTTGCCAGGCGCATTTGTTATCAAAGTCTCGACGCTTCATGGAGTCCGCAACCGAGGAGGAATATCAAGTCGCTTGGCAAAGGCTGCACCGTGCAATTCAGGTTTGTGTTTTCTTTTGCTTCTCCAGTTGATCTCAATAGAGAAGCTTAATGCGCGATATAAGATCCTTTTAGGTGAGAGTCTATTTGTGTGGTGGGGAGTATTTATCCAGGATGCATGGGAGCAGGTAAACGTCATAAGTCCAATATTTTAGCGGCCGTTGCTGGACGCCACCCATAAATCCAACGTGATTCCTACAGATATGAAGAAATATTTTTGGTGTATCCAAAATCTTCCACAACTATACTTCTCACTTCTTTCAGCTTGGCCACATCGTCGAGGAAACGTTCCGTGACATCGTCATGGATGTGAAAACCCACCAAAAGCCGCCGGTAAAGGGTTTATCCAAGAGGGATGAGCTCATGTGTTTCCGGGCAGTATTCGATCAATTCCGGACGCACTGCTTCACTATTCAGCAGGCAAGTTGACCTCGTGGTGCATTCGTTCCTAGCCAATGCATTCCTCCACGGCGCCACGCAAGGCAAGCCTCGGTCTCAAAATTACTCTTAGTTACAGGTCCAGCAAATCAAACTTCGGGGCAAATGTGGTACTCACATCACTAACACCTTCGTTCTTTCCTGAAGTTGGACGTTCATGCCGCAACATGGTTTTCAATAGTTTAAATTTTCGTAAGATATTTTCCGTCGTAATCCGTTATCACTAGAGCAACTGACGGAAGGTAGAAAGTGATGTAGATAAATCGGAGAATATGTAAATACCAAGAATGACTCAGCTGAATGAGGCTGGCAGTGTTCAATTCAATTCAGTTCGCTTCAGTCCAGTTCAGTTCAGGTCAGTTCAATTCATTTCAGTTCAGTTAGTTTCACTTGAGTTTGAACACATTGAGAACTCAATTCTTGCGAGACTGACACAACCACTACGAAATGTTGAGAGATTGATGTTGGAATTGACACAGCACATTCGTGAAGAGGGGTTTCCTTGTTTGTGCTAGGGTCCTTGTGTTGAACGCTGCTAACGGATACACTAGTCATGATCTGGCCAGCAAATCTGGTTGGAATCGATAGTTTTGTTAGTCAAAAGCGCATAATTTCGAGGAACATTTACCGAACAATTCGATGTGTAACCGACAGAAAGCTGGTTCAATTGGTGCGCTAAACTTATAGAAAGACAATCCCATGATTATACCCATGACTAATGAACTCGGGTCAGTTCACATGAATACCTCTGTTTTACCTTGAGTGGGTATCGTGGTTTCAATGATTTGACAAACACTTTCAAGTGTCCGCCGCCTTAACCTCTGGCTATTCTGTATGGGGTGTTATATATCCCGCTGTTTGATCAACGAGACCAACCCTTTTTTACAAAACTCATTCGATTCTACCTGCAAGGTTTTTGCTTGAAATACGACGGATGCCCAGCTATTGCGCCGTGGGACTTACTAGGGTTCGACCATCTGGACTTCCGGTACTGTGATCTTCCTCGCTGTTTCATTTGATGAGAAATTCTGCAATATTATCACTAGATAGAATTGATCAAGGAAAAACACGCAAAATCACGCCTCACCAGTAACACATCTGCTGGAAATTCAGTTTTGTTTATTTCAATACAGATCAGTTCCGTTCAATTTTTTAGCCTCTCTAGCTGTTCCATTTGCGAATGCAAATGTGTGCAAAGCTGCTAAGGAAGGTTGTGAAGCGTGGTCTGGCCAGCAAATCTGGATGAAATCGTTAATTTTGTTAGTCGAGAAACGCAAATTTGCAAGGAATATTTACCCAACAAATAGATGGTCAATTGAAAGAAAGCTGGGACAATTTACGCGGTAAAAAAATTGAAACACAACCTCAAATCTATACCCATGACCAATGAATCCACCAAACAATTCTGTATAGAGGAAGTCCTATGAACCGCGGAGACTTTCTTCTGGTTCGCGTGATTTCATACGATTTTTTCTAATGGAGGGGGATGATTAACCGAAAAGAACCCAGACACTTCTCTGTCCGGTGGACCAACTTATATAACTTCGGTGGATTATAAACAAACCATGTTGCCTGACTGATTTCGAAATTCCTAAAACCGTCTTGATCGGTTTCTCTACCTCCACATTCACGGTCAACAGCTGTTGGAACCGGAATCCTCTCTTATCTTGGGCGTTTGTCATTATTTCAAGTACTTCATTATCAACACAGCAGGATCATTTTCACAAATAGGAATACTGAAAGGGCTGTTGTAAGTGGACAGCTCACGACCAGTTTCGCTTTTCTTGGGGTTCATGTTGCAGGCACACTTCCTGAGATCCCATCAGCCTTGTGTTTCAACCAATCATTTAATTAAAGCCAACCGTTGTTGGTAATTTGCGTGTATCTCCTGTGAAAACCAAATTAGTATGCAAGTTGGAGCATTTGTCTAAATCTGTCCAGTTCTAAATGCGTCTACCTGATGAGTCCCGAAACGGGCGACGTATTTTGTTTCGTAGAGTTCTCACAGATTCATTTATCTGCTGCGTAGTTGAAGCAAATTCGCGTGTTATCCGCTAGCGCTGAACCAGTCTACATCGAAACGTCCGAAATTCAGATATGCTGATACTCGCCAACACTTCTCATAAGTAACGTTTTTCTAATCTTGAGTCCAGTATCTGCTCGAACTTCAGTGTACCTCAATGAAAACCTTCGCCACTCTTTAGCGTCACCATTGGCACATTTTCTCGGGAATGCTGAACTCTGTTGTACGATAGGGTGAACCTTGTGTGAACACATATTCCTGTTTCATTGGAAGCATTGTCGAGGATTGGCGCAAAACTGTGTTGGACATGCATGATTCTCGGTTCGCAGTATGCGTGCTGAATATTTCGTTTGCAAGCCTGAACTGATATTCTAGCTGAGATTCTGTTATTTTTCTGTCTTCAGTTCCCGGAAGTAGCCCAGCATACAACCCATCTAATGGAATTGTGCCAGGCCGGATACAATCCCAAAATCCTCATTGAATCTGTCCACAACGTCTGCTCCTAACAGTCACACATCGTGTTGTGCAAGGTTTCAAAAATAAACAGAATTTTTGCTGGTCCGTGTCGTGTTTTGCCATCGCCACGAAGGGTGAGTTGTGTTTTTTCCGTCAAGCTACCCGTCAAGGGTCGTTCGGTAAAAACCGAAAGCATTTTGGAAAACCCGTCGGGATTCTCAGGTCTTGTGGACGCAGCAAGACGCTTCCACATATCTGACGTGCCGGTGCCGGGTAGGTGCACAGGACGACCAAAAGCAGGCCGGTCGACCGACACAGGTGGAACAGTTATGTGTCGTTGGTCGACTCAAACACATTGCCCAAATTTCAGTGTCTCTTGTGGTCACCCAAACCGTGCAAGAGACGCATCATCAAACTTAGCCACATCGACTTTGATTATGTTCTCATACAGTCCATTGAAACTTCATCGGATATTTAGATGAGGCCTTTGGAAAGGCCTTGGTTTCTCGATCAATCAAACTGGTAACCAGTCTTTCGGAATTGTCTGTTTTGGCGGTTGTTCTCCTACCACATTGTCAGCTTGATGCTGTTGTATCGGATTCATCAACCGGTCGATATTCATGCGCGTGGGACGGGACCGGCCGACTCCAAGACACATGTATCTTGTCCATAATCATTATCCGGTTACTCCGGAGAGGAAGTTCCGGATGCACAGTAGGATGCGTAGTATAGCACGGAAATCACCACACTGGACAGACCGATTACCGGGGAGGGAGAACACCTGCTAAGGAACTGATCCATAAAAAGCCAGGCGACAAAACAGGCCGGTTGGCCACTTGGTTGATTCGCATAGAAACGTGTGCCTAACCTTGAAACCACCTGCTACCGATAAGATAGCAGAAAACTCTTCAGCAAATTCCTGTCGTTCTCCCCGTTTTGGATTACATTAGACCGGTGCAAACCTTGGTGGTCAATTGAGATAAGGCTGACAAGAATAGGACGAATAATTCGAAGACGAATTTACGCCACCGGGTAGATGTGGTGTGACAGGTGATTCACACGTTCCAAGAATGTCTATCTTGTGCAAGCGTACAAAAATATTCCGGATTGGAAATTTTTTTGCGATAGACTAGAGCTGTCAACTCACAGATTACGACAATTTTTTTATGTGAGATGTGGTCCACAGTACACAGACATCCTAGCACTTCAGTGAACCATTTGCTGTTTGGAGCCGGGTGGGTGCAGACCACTACATAGCACCATCACGGATTAGGATGTCCTTCGCTAAATGGTTAGGAATGAAGTGCTTGACAACAGCAAACTAAGAATCATAAATTTCCCGCCCCGGTGAATTTTGTGTTGTGACTTTATGTGAACAGTAGTTATACCATTTCCTTCTATCATAAAGCATGTTATTCGTCCGGGCAATACACTGGCACCCTACGGCATTTAAAATACCAGGGTCTGGGCATCCAGCCAAAACTTCAAGTAAGACGGCAATGCGATTACTTCGGTTACACACATAATTTGGCGATCGGTTATTAAGAACTGACCAGCCAAACGTCAGGCGATAAAACAGGCCAGTTGGTCACTCGGTTGTTACACAACAAAATCTGTACAACTATTCTTGAAATGACCTGCTACCCATAAGATTGCTGAACAGCCTTCAGCAACTCACCGCAGGTCTCACTTTTCTAGGTTTCATTTGATAGGAGTACACTCTGATGTTCAATTAAAGCAAGGTTGATAAAAAAGCGCAGACCAATAAATCAACATCGATCTTGCTTCTGATAGATGCCTGAACGCTAATCACATTCGGTCGTCCTTCTGTGGCGTGCATGGACGCTCGTCGGCTTTTGCTGAATTGATTGAATGATTGACTGACTTGGATGCTTGCCGGTTTCCCTTCTTCAAACTTTGGCGGAATATTAGGGTCTCAGAAGGTTCCGATCATCCTAGGGTTACCGCCAGGATTCCGACCTTTCGATAGATACAAATACTCTCATTCGCACATCATCTGCGTGTTAACGGTGCACTTCACTGAACGCAAATATCTTTCTCGTATATACTTTTCTCCAACTGGAATGTAAAGTAAACTGCATTTCAGAATACTCTTCGAGGACGAGTTGACTCATTCCTCTCGGTGCGCAAATTACTCATGGTATTAATTGTTTCCCACGGAGTAATCTCTCAATTTTTGCCACTCCGGCGGATGGCTATAACACCGTATGCGTGAGAATGATATTTGACCCAATCGAAATTGACGGGACCAGCCATATATGTAAAATAAACAGAAAGTTGCTTTTCACACTCTTGTGCCTAGTGCCAGAAAGAGTACACAACAGCATCGTTCCAAACAAGCGATTGCGTGCTAGTGGAAACTATACAACAGTCTCGCGCTATTTAAAGGGCCCATTGTGGCAATAAGACCGGCAGACTGATGGCGTTTAGTGAACACCTTCAACATCCGTCGTGTTTCAGTGAGATGTCTGAACGCGAATCACAT